ATTTGTAGGTCCTATCGACGGCCTTATTTTATCTCTCAGGAGAGAACTCTATACCTTTCCCTATCACCTGATTGATTGGGATCAAGCAAGAAATCTATGTGCTAAGGTACGTACTACGTGTAGTATTCATTCTACTATTTTTCGTATTAAATAAGAGAAAAAAGTTATACAAATACTACCTATCGCTTAACTTCGTCTATTATTTTTCTTTCAAAATGTTTTTTGTGGTTTGCAATTGACCTATCTGGAGTATACTTTGATATGGCGAGAAGATGAATAGCAACCGTTCATCTCTATTTTTTCTCATAAAAAATACTTGCACAAACTGGCAAAGTAACCACATCCTCAATGGTCTAAAGACTCAAATCTTTGTAATATTATGAATCATTCATGAACATCGCAACAAATACAACTAAAACATTTATAGCTTCCACGTGAATAAGAAGTTGTGCAGCAAATACAAAATAAGAGTTTAATATAATATAGAATAAGGAAGGATGACAACAAAGCAGTGTCAAATTTGGTGGAAGGAAGGATGTAAGACCCGCTCACCCAATTAAGGATCAGATATGGAGTCATTTGACTAACAAATTATAAATGGGATGGCTTTCTTTCTAATTACCTAACCAAATCTGATCTCATGACATCATTTTCTGCATAATCAGGTATGTTTTAAATAGAATATAATATACACACGGATAATAATATATAGTAATTAATTAACAGTTTAATTTTGAAAATAAATAGGTGCGTGGCTCGTTCTTAAGCTTCAACTCAAATGATATAAGAAAGCATAATTAGCGCAACGAGGGTTGGTTGAGTTTGTAAGAATTATTTTCTTAGCTAGGCCAAGGTCTAGATTCGAGTCTTACTGCCAGCAATTCCTCTTGGTCGACAATCTTTAAAAAAAAAACAAAGAAAAAGACTTGTGGTATGCCCTAACCCTGAGATGGGTAGCCTCACCTCCTCCTAAACCCTTTGTTTTTTTACAGAAAAGAAAAGAAAGTGTAATTAGCCTTAAATTTTGGCTCAAATGACACTAGAAAGTTGTATGACCTAAAGTTTAGACATCAGAACAAAACAAAAGAAAAAGGGGAAACTGTGGTGGGCAGGTTAGGTCTGAAATATGCTTGATGTCTTGATTTATTCCAACTTCCAGCTCAAAAAGGAAAAAGAAATGTTTATAATTATAATTAGATCATTAGGTTATTAAGTTTAGGGTCGGTCTGTTGGCTCAACTGCTAATTATACTTTTTCTATTGGTTGAGTTGGACCAATAATCGAAACCCTAAACCTAAATTTATTTCATGTTTTAATCTCCATATTAAATTTGCAGGAGGATTTGTATTACCCACATCCCCTTTTACAGGACATGTTGTGGGGATCTCTTCATAAGGTTGGGGAGCCTCTTCTGAAGGGATGGCCCTTCTCTAAACTAAGGCAAAAGGCTCTCCGCACTATAATGCAACACATACACTATGAGGATGAAAATACTCAATATATTTGCATTGGACCTGTCAATAAGGTTTGTTTAAAATTATTAAATAAAAAGGAGAATACAATTGTACACAATAAATATTTGATATTATTTATATAATACTCATGGCCCTTGAACCAAGAAGAAAAGCAGGCTGTATGATTATCGTGTGACTTAGCCCATATCTTTTATACCTTAGTATAAAATAAGATATTACTCTATCAGAAAAATGTACCAAGTGCATTGTCTATATAAACAGGTACTAAACATGATTTGTTGTTGGGCGGAGGATCCAAATTCAAAACCATACAAGCATCATCTCTCAAGAATCAAAGATTATCTTTGGGTTGCTGAAGATGGAATGAAGATGCAGGTCCTCAAAAAGAATTTTTAACATAATTTCTCTCTTATTAATAAATGATGAGATTATTATTTTTTTAAAATTGTTATTAGCACTCTAAAAATCTAATTATGCACTCTAAACTTTCTATATTTGGATTGAAAATACTCTTATGAGAAGTGCACAATTAGATTTTTGAAGTGCTAATAATAGTTCTCTATTTTTTAAAAGATGTGGGACTAACTGAATGTACATTATTTTGATCATGTATAGGGATATAATGGATCTCAATGTTGGGATGTTGCTTTGGCTGTTCAAGCAATCCTTGCAACCAACCTCTTTACTGAATCTGGTTCAATGCTTAAGAAGGCGCACGATTTTATAAAAAACACACAAGTAATTAAACTCAAAATAACTTGTATTAATTTAAACTAGATATCGTCTGAAATTCACTGCCAAAACATATATATATATATATATATATTTATATATATGCCAAAACTACTGCATGCAAAACTACTTAACTGTTTTTTAATCAATTAAGGTTCGTACAAACAGCTCCAGAAACCCTAGTAACTGGTACCGTCACATTTCCAAGGGTGGATGGCCCTTCTCCACTCCAGACAATGGCTGGTCTGTCTCAGATTGTACGGCAGAAGGTTTGAAGGTAATCTTTTTGAGTTGGCTTCTAGTGTGCAAAGTCCCTTAGCGCAACGAATATTCGCATCGCGCAAATGTTTTGCTACTTTACTTTTGGTGCAGCGCACTTGAGCGACAGCGCCTCAGTTTTGTCGCGCTAAATACACTTGCGCGACTAAGCTTTTGTCGCACAAAGATCTGTCGCGCAAATGGTTTTTTCTGAAATGATATGCGGACTAAAACTATGCGCACCATCTCAATTGACTATGTATCCTACTGCTTACAGGCAGCCCTCTTACTATCAAGTATACCGTCTGAAATAGTAGGAGAAGCCGTACAGACTGATCACCTATATGATGCTGTTAATGTGATATTATCCCTACAGGTAAAAAATGGTTTTAGTGATTAGTATCTTATACAATTCTATTGGCAGTTGATTAAGTAGACATGGAACTAAATAGCTTAAGCTTCTCTGACAATTGTAAGTTCTGTTGTCATGAGATTGTCTGACAATATAAGAACATTTATATGTTGTCAGGCTATGAATGTAAATAGTTGATCAGGTCGATTCTTGCATGAGTCGGCTATCTAGGTTCACACAAAATATGCCTTTGTCTGACAATTAAGTTTGGTGAGAGAATGTCAATAATACAGTAGAGTCTGGTTTCTGTACATTCAATTGTCTATTGTTATGCTTAAATTAAATTTTGTTCTTGAACACAACAGAACAGTACTGGAGGATTTGCTTCCTATGAACTCACAAGATCTTACCCCTGGTTGGAGGTGAAGAAGCAATTTTTTCTTTTTCAATCTTTTAAAGTAAAAGCTTGTTAATTGTGGTTAATTAATTTTGTTGAGAGAATCTGAGACATATTTCAATACCAGATGATCAATCCAGCTGAAACGTTCGGAGATATCATCATTGACTATCAGTAAGCTCCAAAGATAATTTGAGTTATTTCTTTACTTTTATTTTCCAAGGCAATTACATCAAATAATATATATCTTCTTAAAAAAATGTAGGTACGTGGAATGCACATCAGCAGCAATACAAGGCCTTAAATCATTCATGAAGTTATATCCAGGACATAGGAGGAAAGAAATATTAGCATGTATTGCAAGGGCAGTCAAATTCATCGAGAGCATACAACAACCTGATGGCTCGTGGTAATTTCCTTCTCCATACGTAAAACTCATTAATTAGAAGAGTACTAATTAAATTAAGGCTAATTATTGTTATACCTCCTGAATTATTGACTTTGCCCCATGGAATTTTTTTATCAGTCGAATAATGTTTCAGGTATGGGTCTTGGGGAGTCTGCTACACCTATGGAACATGGTTTGGGATAAAGGGGCTGGTGGCTGGCGGTAAGACCTACCAAACAAGTCATAGCATTAGAAAAGCATGTGATTTCTTGCTGTCCAAACAACTTGATTCAGGCGGTTGGGGAGAGAGCTACCTTTCATGCCAAAACAAGGTAAGGGACCAATGATTATAATTCAAAGATGGGGAGCGATGTATGATTTATCCCATAAAATGGTAATGATTTCTTGAGTAGAAAGTTGAGGTTTTACCATAAAACTAATTGGTAATATAGAGAATAACCCAACACTGTCAACATCTTGTCAGACAACGTAAAACTTCTATGTAGCGAGAACACTACGGTAAGAGAACATTTTCGGTTGTAACATAGAAACATTTTGATGTTAATATGTCGTCAGACTATTTGACAAGACATTTTTGTTATAGCATAACACAATATTTTGTTATTAAATAGGTATACACAAACCTCGAAGGGAACAAGCCACATATAGTGAACACTGGATGGGCAATGCTGGGTCTTATTGATGCAGGGCAGGTGTGTTTCACTCTCTGTTTGTTTCTTCTACAAAAAGATATGCTAATAGAAATAGCAGATAAATTCACGTGTAATATTATTTTTACCGTTTTTATTGATTAGGCTGAGAGGGACACTACGCCCTTGCACCGTGCAGCAAAGCTGTTGATTAATTCACAGATGGAGAATGGAGATTTCCCACAACAGGTATATTGAGAAAGATTTTCGCACCCCGTTTTCTTCTTCTGCACACAGTTGTTCAATTACATTTCTTGATAAGTTAGTGTCGTAAACAAGAGTGTGCATCAAGAAAAAATAGTGTCGGAAATCCAATTTCCCTATATTTATAAGCTAGCGTCGAAGGTTATACATGTAATAATATTTATCTTGCAATTAATATTACTTTGTTTTATTTTCACAGCAAATCATGGGAGTGTTTAACAAGAACTGCATGATCAGTTATTCTGCGTACAGAAACATCTTCCCCATATGGGCCCTTGGAGAGTATCGCAATCGCGTATTCTGACCGTATAAATGTACAAATCAACTTGCTAGAAAATGTGTAAAATGGTCATGTAATGATGTATTTCATTGGCGTTTTCAAAACCCTACTACGATGTTGATATTACATTGATGAATCTAATGTGTATATATAATAATGTATTTGAAAACAATCCAGAAGAAAAATGGATATGCAATTCAGAAGTGTTCAAACAGGGGCGGAGTTGCAGAAAACCATATTACAACAGAATTTTACAGATAGGAAATTTTCAGCATTTCGTTACACATCTGCGAATATACAACTTATCGTCTTCACTCGAACTAGTACTCCATGGAAATAAGTGAAGACCAGTTGAAGTTTGCAACTCAGAATCCTTGAATCATAATCAGTCCTGGCTTGTATTAGTTAATGGCAGAACAATCGCTCGACTGAAATATTATTACAAATACAGAGACAAAATTTCGGGCTATTCAAAACCGTGAATTGCTAAGAAATGCGACAACGCAGCTAGTACTTTGAAACAACTTTTCTACTCTTTGCCATGTTTTGCATTGAATATCTAGGAGCTCCCTTGCCTTGTCCTGCAGTCTTGATTGGCACCGAATTGTTTCGCCATGGATCTGTTAAGGGAAGAAAAAGAAGTAAATGAAAGAGGTTATTTGAAGTTGAGGGTCTTTGAGCACCAACTGGAAGCAGCAATAGTCGGTATATACTGGAATTGAAAAAGCTCCAAAAGCCTTCTGATAACACTACTAATTGGTTAAAAGCAAAAAAGGAGAAATCTATACCTTCAGAAACACCTTGATTACAGCTTGTACAAAGTCAAAATTGTTTCTGCACGAAGTCTCATGTATAAAATAATCAAGGAGCAGTTCGATTGAAAGTAATTCTGGGCGGCTTTCAAGTTCTTCCTCATCCTCATCATCAACAATCTCAAGCATTCGAAGCTCCATGTCCAGAGTCGATGGAGACAAACTTTTAATATAATCGGTAAATGCTGAAACTGCAACCAAAAACACAATTTAAGACGATTATGTCCTGCATAGATGTTACAACAATCAAGAAGGCAAAATTACAACTGAATTACAAGTGGAATATTACAATACTAAGAGATTAAAAGTATTTACAATTTTTCATTTCTGCAGATGACTGAAGATGTTGCAAGAATTGTGATGGTGCCAGACCAGACTTTATTCTAGTGTGTTCTACGTCATCACCTTTGGCCTCCTTGTTTTCTAATCCCGTAAATAATATTTCTCCTGAAAAAGAGGGAATTGAAGGCAAAAAGAAAGGAGCCCTTTCGGGTTTTTTTGGCGGTTCAATTGGTTTATTCCGTTCCTGGGCATAGCAGAGCCACAACATAATTACTGATCAGTCACCAACAAAATGTACAGGGAAACAGATACAAATGTAATATATAATATTTCCAAATGAAGTCAAATGTTTGGAATCTGAAAAATAACCACCAGTAGAAAGTACCTTTATAGTGTCTAAATTGATTAAGCTTTGCCACTGGCTTTTAGGCAATAATGAGAGAGTAACAAGATCTGGAATTTGAAAGTCAAGAGTAGTAAATGCAGGAGCATCTTTGGATTGCGGATGGTCCACAATAGGCTCGTCAGAGTCCTCCTCTAGAGAACCTTTTGTTGAAGAGATAGATGGCAACTTAACACTCCTAACTTCCTTTCCACTTGCATAAGAATCGACTTTTGAAGCTCCAGAAAACATCGATTGGTTTACCCTGTTCAAATTGTCAGGTTTAATTTCCGGTACAAAATAAGGAATGAAAATAAGAAATACTACAATATTAAACGATCTATTGCATGCTAAACCGTTCACTTTAAAATTTTAAGATAATTGATATTTTTAACTTTCCACTGGTTCTATGCTACATCATGATGAATTTGGTGGAGGGGATAAGGCCTAAGGTTATATGAGGTTGCAGTGTCTTGGCTCTAAACTGGGTAATTTGGATGGAAAGGTATGGAAGGGTCTTCAAAGGTTATAGAGGGTAGGGTTGGAGAGAGTACAGTTTAGGTGAGCTGGATTGGAAGAAAGCCGTAGGCTGAGTTATTGAGCTGTAATCATTAACGCTGTTTTCTTAATTATGTTCTGCGTCAGTTATTTAGTCTCCCATTGTTGCTGTATTCCTGATTAGATAAGGTTTTTCTTTAAAAGAAGCGTCCACTCTATATGCATAACAATCACATTTAAAAACTCAACCTCCGAATAAAAATTCAATAGTCAATAGAAATGAAGACTTACCAAAGATAGACCCCATTTTGGTCAACATGTGCAGTCGCTAGAACATCCATATTCGGTGACAGAGACAATGCTGTTATAGCCACGTCAACATCCAACGCATCTATTTGTCTTGCTAAAATAACATCCCAGACTCGAAGACTTCCATCCATACTTGATGACAAAAGCCATTTTCCATCCTCACTAAAACACATGTCTGTAATACGATCCATATGACCTTCAAATTTACGAACCATTCTTGATGCCACAACATCATACAAACGGATGATTAAGTCATCAGCCACAACAGCCAGAAGACCTGAAAGTTATTTTGATCACATTATTATCCAAGGCATTTATGGTGCCAAAAAACCAAGCCAAATAACTCTAAATGGCAAAAATATGTCAAACACAAGTTACCATTCAAACGATTATATACAATCTTCACAACGGAGCACCCAACTTCCCATCTAGATTTTACATCACGTCCCTTGAAATTCCAAACCTGCAGGCCAAAACAAGTGAGGCATGATCAAACATCCAACTACACTTAGCCATTTTCTTTCTTCCTTTAACTTGGGAAGCTTAGAAAATTTCTTTACTTTGCTGATTCTTATAACTCAAGATGACAATATATACAAGGGCAAAAGGCATCTTCATGCAAAACTGTAATATCTTTCAACAAACAAGGTTTAGGCCAGCCCCACCACCATCACCCTCATAAATCAATGTAAATCCCGCCTTGAGCACCATAGACCTCATATGCTATTATGTGAGCCTGCCTACCAGTAACTCTGACATAAAGGTTGAGCATCATTTTTTGAAATAAGAAATAAAGACTGACCTTTATGTCTCCGTGATATCCTGCACTTATCATTACAGTATTCGTTGAATCACAAGCAATTCCAACCACTTCCCCATCATGGGCAAAGCTCCTTCTTTCTGACGTGTCCATGTAACTGCCTCGACTGATTCCTGATTGGAGGTTGAACCGCTCAACCCAACCATCCGCTGTCCCCAGTATGGCAAAATTGCCACATGCACTGATGGCACAAGCCTATTACCAACAACAGAAAACTGTTCATTAATATTGTAGACTGTTAAAAAAAATGATTCAGTATGGAAGTGGTTTTAACAAGTCTTTAAGATTGCACAGAGCATAGTCATTAGAACTGGTTCATTGGGAATCATATGAATCCAAAGAGAGTAATTCCAAATTTGATTATTCAACCTTGGAAAATGGATGTTACAAAAAATGAGCTATATTCAAGGCTTCAAGCAGAATCTAACCTTCACTGGTGTGGGGTTTTCCGGTCTTGGCTTCAGAATATGCTCACCAAGAACAAAGTTTTGAAGTCTCCATACATATGCCTGTGCAGTATCCATATGGCATGTAACCACATTGCACCAATCTCGCTCTCTTATTTCAGCTGAAGATATTTGTCGCATAAAGAAATCAGATGATTCAAAAATGTTACAGGTTTCTCATCTTGAATATGGATTATAGGAATTAACACCAGTCTTAATGACTTCAACTACATTAAATCTATGGTATTGATTTTTAAACAAAAGCAGTAATTTTTTTTCAAGAGAGACCAAAACAAATTTGAAATTTATTATGTTCAATCATAATATACATTGAAATATAAGATTGCAAATTGCAACCTACAGAAATTTTTAGAATTTCTGTAGTATTTCAGTAAAGTGCTATAAAAAATTTTGTTGTAAAAGAGCTAATGAAGTTTAAAATGAAAACAAACACAGAAAGTTACACAGAGAGAAAGACCTTACCACAATCAAAAGCGATGACAGGCTTCAGTTTTATCTCTTCTTCCTAAAAGGTAAAGAAAACAGAAATTACATAGTTAAACTATCAGCGAGCTCAAATAGATTTGTCAACTTATGATTCACGCGATAAAATGTTTCATCTAACCATCAAGGAAATGGGTATAAATGTCTAAGCCATGGTACATGGTCTTGACTACATGATACTTCATCAACAGAGTATCATGAGAAGAATGACACGCATCAGAAGGATGCAAAACATTTGGAAACGGAGAGAGAGAGGGAGGGAGGATGAAGATGTAGTGTGATCAATTTATGGATTCATCTAAGACATTTTCTGGTTTTGAACATTTTAAAAACATTGAGAAACGATCAGACATTCTTTTCATTGCTATCCAAACTGCAACACATTAATATGTTATGAAATCATTAGAATGGTATGATATTGACATGTCTCATGATCACCCATCATGGTGACTTAAATATAAATACAAAAAGACAGTCGTGGCCTGATCTTGGGACCTAAATCATCCTTCATGGATGAACCTCACTGAAAAGCGACATAAAGCATCACATGGACCCTTCAATTCACCCAGGCATAATAATGTCAACAAAACAAGACACTGGTAACAGTACGGGTACCAGACACTCAAATGTGTGGACAGATTTTTGAAAATACATAAAAACAAACAAACAAAAAATGAGACATTTGTATGCATACCCACATCACGCAATCACATCTGAGTTCATGTAGTGTAGTGTATGCATATCAAGTTCACTTCGAAATGTTTTCATAGTAAGCAAAGAAAAAAAAATCTTCAGAAAAAAAGTACAAGAAAAAACAAGAAACACAACCATCCTCGATGAAATCCATAATTAAAACTATCATTCAATAACACAATAAATAGAATATTCTGTGTTCCAAGAACTAAGAGTCATGTGAAATTCAATTAAAGAAAAAATTAAAAAGCAATAATACAAACACAGTTTAGTTATACTAAGTACTGTAAATAAGGACAAAGATATTGTACTTCCAAGCCATACCTTCATCTTCAGTTTCTTTGCTCGTTTGGATATGTGACGCTGAGAAAGCTCTCTACTTTGCTGATCCTGATAACAACATGTAACTAAATAAAACACTGAAGAGAATTATAAATAACAAAAATAAAAACGGTGGTCAAAAAGCATGATGCTGACAGAGTCCGAACCTGTATTACAGAGAAAAGGCGAAATGCACGGTCCTGACCAGCTGATAGAATGTGTCTCCCATTCGCATAAAACCTAGAAGTCAAGCATGGTTAATAAAGAAGGTTGAAATCCAACCAATACCCTCAAAGTAAAGCAATGGCTTAAGCATCATGGAAAACCCAAAGCCCTTACATATGATTTATCGTACAATTTAAACTAAAATCGAGGAAGTCCTTAACTTGATGTGCAGAAGTGCTGCATGATAAGGCACAACAGATAGAGAAATAGAAAACTGGACTTTGCTTCATACATATAAGCACCACAAGATAACATAGATATATGGACGTCAAAGATCATAAAATCAATGGGCAGAATATGTGAATCCTATAGCACCAAATCTATGGTAACAGCAACACTGGAAGAATTTAAAATTCACTTAAAATAATGTCACAACTAAAATACCTTATGCATTGTGGAGGAGCACTATGACCACTTCTGAAGCGTAAAAGTCGAGGATCTCCATCAGTTGTGTCAAAAATCCACATCTAGAGGGGCATAAAGAGTTGTACAAATCAATTATTCGGGTGCACAGAAAAACATGATTTTTTTTCTTTCCAAGTAAAACAAGGTCATACAATAATGATAGTGTAAAAACCTTCTAATGCCTTAATTCCTTCAAATATTAATGATTGAAATGTTCAAAATACAAAAGCAGCAACTCAGCCACAAAAAATTATAAAAACAATGTTCTTGATTGTAACAATAAAATGAAAAAGGAAACAATTCACAGTGGAACTTGAAGGAAAAAGCAAATAATAGAGAAAAAAATAACTAAAGATTGATATAAAGTGAGCACAAATCGGATCCTTTGGAAGTGAGGACATAACATCTTGGCAAGGCCAAAGAAGAAATTTTGTTTGGTAATAATAAATACTGGGGTCCAACTATCAACCAATATGCCTATGTCGGTGACTTGGTGGACACACTTAAGTAAGTACTATCTAGTATCTACCTATTTTATAAATCTGAAGCAGCAGAAACAGTTCAAGAGGTCATGTTCTTACTCATGAAAGGGCTTCTTTGCTTGATGAAGAAGGAAATTAGATTAATCATGGTTGCATGTTTCTTCAGAGCATTAACAAATAAATTTCCATTTATATATATGATTAGGGCAATATCATATGTAATCGTGAAATTATGTTCTCCCTACAGATTTTGACAAGTAACTAGATGCAAATGAAACTTAACCAGATGCAAATTAAACTAAGAGAGAACAATAAAGTGCCCTTACTTTGATGGAATTGTCAGATGATGAACTCATTAGCACGGGTTCATTCACAAGAAAGTGAAGTGAAAGTACAGAACCATCATGTGCATCTCTTATTACTGATTGAAGCCTTCTTTTTTCGAGATTCCATATGCTTATGACACCTGAAGAACCTCCAGATGCTAGTAGAGGCTGCCCATCTAACAAGGAGGCATAAGTAAACATAAGCATAAACTAGAAACTGACTTCATGGATAATCATCAAAATATAGCAGTCACAACCCTTTAATTTCTCTTTTTTTGTTTGTAGGCAAACATATAATTCCCAACTCAAAAGACAGCTGAGAATCAACTATGAAACACAACTCAAGATTGATGTCCCTTTAAAAAATAGACTATTTGGAAGACAGGAGCAGCATGAAAAATAGCACTCATTCCAAAATGCACCTGATAGAGAACAAAAAAAAAATCTCATATCAAGGATTTCAAGCATTGCATTACAAGATTTAATGATATGGGCCTCTCCACCCATTTCCAATTGCTTTTTAGTTGGACGCTCTAACATTAACATGACATCAAAGCCTTACATGCTCCGTGTCACCCAATTTAATTTTTCAGTGTGTTTGGCTTGGTTGCCCACATGTGAAGGGTCGTGGTGAGAATATAGAATCCCACAATGGAAAATCTAAGCCTGCATAACAATATATAAGATTTTGGACGTCTCAACTTATCTCCATTTGGTCCAATCCTTCAGCAAAACATGCTCAACATCAACCATTGTATGTTTCCATGTGAGCGGGTGTGATTGAAGTATAGAACCCCATATCCAGATTTCTAAGCCTTGCATGATAATTTATACTGTCCTGGGTTCAATCTATTTCCATTAAAGAGGCACAGGATAGTATAGTACTAATACCTTCCTATTTTTCGTATTTTTTAGTAACTAAGAGCATTAAAGAAATACGCCTACAGTATCAAAGCCTAACACAACAACTTCCACAGCACCATGGTAACATACTAATTCATAGACAGTTATTAAGATAAAGTGTAAAGTATAAACCAAAATCCTGATACTCTTACCTGTGCTGAAAGATAAGGCAGTCACAGCACCTCGTGTTGAATGAGAAAACGTGACTAGCTCTTCATCGTAACGAATGTTGTGAACATGAACGTTTCCATCAGCACAACCAACTGCAATAACATCTAGTGCAGGAGATGAAACACAACTGCAGATAGAAGAATTCCATCCCTTGAACTCATAAAGTTTTTTCTTTGCACTGATGTTCCAAAGTTGAAGTGAACCTTCCTGACTCCCAATAATAATCTGGACAGATTATAGATAGCGTTTAATCTTAATTGAGAGAAAAATGAGGTTGCATCAAATTTAATGACTAAACATTTACGGTTATTTTGCATAGAAAATTGCAAAAGAGCTTCTTTGAGAATGCAGTTACCTTATTTAGGTAGGTATCTGGATGCATTATACAGCTAGGACAAAAGTTGTTGTCTAACATAACATGTCCAATCGGAGTATGGTTCTCATCAATTCCTTTGAATGCCCATATAAACAGATGACCTTCAACATCAACACTTAGGATATGCTCTCCAAACAATAGCAGCGAATTGACCTTGGCACTATGGCTGCACCATGTTGCTACCTGTTACAATATCAAATAACGTGTTAAACATGAAGTTCAGTCCATCAGATACTGCTGAGAACAGAAGCATATGACTCCCCTCTAGCACGCTATTTATAAGATTCTAATTAAGAGCTTTGGAATTAGGATAGTTGATCAATATCGAAGGGGAAGAAGGCAATAACTCTGAAAAGTACAAACAATGGACGGGTGTGGAGGTATCAGGAGCAATAACTCTGACTACTTAAGTAACACTTTCTCCTCAACAAAATTTATCGGAAAAAAAAAAAAAAAAAAAAAAAAAAAACTGTTAACCAACCTGATGAGCTCGCTTAAAAACGGCTATCTCATTCCCATATGCAGCAAACGTATAATCACGGTAGCAAGCAAGAGCTCGAATCTTCTTCGGCAATTGTGGACCTTTTATAGGTAATAAAAAAGTGATCATAATTATACTGCATGAACAAAATACCTAAAAGCCCTACAAGAATGCATTAAAAAGTATTTGGGAAATAAAAGACCAAAATAAAATTGCCAGCACAACGTCATGCTGCTCCCCAAACATTAAAAGTGTTGTTACGAAGCACCCGGAGCGATTTTTTCATTCTTTTCTTTTGTGAAAGTAAAACTGAAGTTTTTAAACAACTCCAAGCTAATTTTTAAAATGCCAAACAACACTTTTTTGCAGATTCGTGCATAGATTGGTCTAAAGCAGACAATTTCGAAAGAATTTAGACAAATTATATTGCCAACTTAGTTCCAATTCTTCATTGATACACCTAATATCAATTCCAAACGTTAAATTATATAGTAAATCATATAATTACATTGTTCTTAATTAAAAAAAAGTAAAAAAAACCCATGAAAATTCAAATTTGAAAACAAAAGAACATAGAAACACACCAACGAGGACGAGACTGAGCTTTGCGCACTGCAACAAAAGACAAATTCAAACAAAACACGAAAAAATAATTAAGCATAAATTAATGGGCATCAAAGTTGCAGCTTGGAGAATAAAAATATTAAATGAATAGAAATTGATTCAAAATTACGTTGTAAATCTGGAAAGCCTTGCCGACGGAGACAGTGACGAAGGTTTCGGTGCCGAGCCGCTGAACAGAGAAGGGGACGGAGCTGGTTGTGTAGCCGATTGCTCTGAACGGCTCGAATATTCCCATTCTCTCCCACTCTCTAGGGTTTTCTGAAGCTTGTCGAAAGACAATAAATAGAAGAGAGAGAGAAGAAAATGGAAACGCCAAGCAACGAGGAGTGGGACTGAGACGAAGGAGGCTTAAGGGTTTAGGGTTTAGAAGGAGGAAAACGATGATAACCAACACGGTGCGTTTTGAAACCCAATATATATATACATATACATATATATATACATATATATATATATATATATATTTTGGACAAAGGCTTACTTTATTGATAACTTAACATATTACATGAGAGAATATTCAAATACAAGAAACACACAAAAGAGGCTTACTTTATTGATAACACAACAAATTTCTTTATTGATAACACAACAGATTACATGAGAGAAGAAAAAAGAAGAATAAAAGAAAAAGAGAAGAAAGCCGAAGATGGCGCTTGAGAAGGTGGACAAGTTGAAGACCCTTACCAAAGCGGGGAAGAAAACTCTCACAGAGGAAAGAAGGTCTCTCACGGAAGGAGAGAAGGTTATTGTTTAACCCAAAATATGTTTACACCCCCAATTTCACTAGCCATTGAAAATTGTAAGACCAAATGGCCAAAAACCTATAATTCCCCTTTTATTCCCTCCAATCCATTCCAACCCAAGTTCTAATTTGGACCTAAAACTTAAAACCTAAAATAAAAAGTCAGATTTAGGCCAAAATTAGTGGTGAAGCCCCCACCCACATGGGTGTGTCTCCCACTTGTTTGCCAATAAAATTGAGCACAACAGCTCACATTCATATGGGTTGTTGGTTATCCAACGATCCACATTTAATTTAGTTAATACTTGTTTGCCACTAAAAAGATAAATATTGCCTAAATACGAGTATCTTGGCAAAGAAAGACCAACACAACTGATAGCCTCCGCAAGAAAATTAACTACCCAAAAAATTGTTGTAGGAAATAGTTGAGAATGATCTAGCAAGCCATTTGTTATCCTCAAATTGCCACTAAACGAGCATTTTTACATATCTTGTTGACCGAAAAGCTTCAGCCGAAATACAAATACACTCTTTTTACTTCTTTCAAAGGTAGGTCATGTGAGTTTCAAATATACATTCTTTGTACCAAAAGAAATTGATCTGTTAGCTTGTTAACTTTGATGTTCGAATACGATTACCAATCGAAGAAAATGTTTCATCGAACTGATCTTTGTACGAAATGGTAGGAAACATAAACAAAAATCAACACTAATCCTTTTTCTTGCTCCTTTTCTTTCTTGAACCATGTATACAGAGTTTACAAGACAACCAGATTGATGTCCTACACATTAAAAGTCCTACAAATAAACGAGGATAAATTAAACAAGAACGCATAAACAAGTGCCTCCACTACTTGGACTCATCCATGTGGTCATTACGGTTACAAGATTCAGATCTTAAATCCTTCCTGTCCTGCCTCGACTCCTCAGACTCTGACATCTTTGAAACCGAATCATCAAGCGCCTCAAGAAAGGACAATACAGTGAACTTGTCTGCAAGAGCAAGAATGACATCCATGAATTATCATCATACAGAGTGATGGCATATAATCTCATTTGACGAGATCCTACATCCGCAAGTGGATGCAAAAGACTGAAAACTACATTAGCATCAGACCCTCTAGGTATAACCCCACGAACGACGACAACTCATTGACTCTTATCACAAGCATAAGATGCGTCTATCAAGTAGTTGGATTTTCTCACACGCTGGAATGTTTTATTGTCAAGTTACTAGGCAAGGCTCGATTTGAATTTAACCCAATAACGGTATAAACATTTTTTCAGTAAGAAGGGAAGACAAAAAATCATTCAGCAAGCATAGGTATACTAGCAAGCTACAAGATAATGAGTCCTTACATTTACTTGGGTCAATACCAAACTGCGTCAAATCTATCTGTCCTGTTCGAAGTACCTATAATAAACATTTAGGGAAAGGTAAAAGAAAGAAACAGCTTCACGCTCAATGAAGAAACAGACAATCAAAATGCCACAAGATGAGTTTTCAAATTCTTACATAAGCAAAGGAATTCATTTGTTGGCGGAAAGGTGGACTCTGCAGCAACTCCAATACATCCTCAGGAGACCATTGACCCTGTAACTCCAACCGAATTAAACAATGGAGAAAAACTAATGTATAAGAGATCAAGAATACAGAAAAGGTAGTGAACCAGAAATTTGCATACCTCAGGTAAGTAAGAACCTAAACCCTGTTCCAGTGGCAATGTCTCAATCAATGGCATAATCAACTCAGGTTTCAATATATCCTCCAAACTCAAGCCTAGACCCATAAAAACAAAAGTCACAAGATTAGAGCCATATTATATTTCAAGGAAAAACATTGGAAACAGCAGCCATTTAGGTAATACTGTAGATACTATAGTACAATGGGCCAGCATGCATGTTGTTAGAACTCTTTAGTAATCATTGACAGGTACCAATAGGGAACTAAGAGAGGCTAATGTGAAAAATTAAGGGTTAAAATCACTTTAGTCCTCTATGTGATCAATTCTGTTAGGTTCTGCTAATTAAATAAATCGATTTACACCTCACTACCAAACTTGCACTTCACAAAAGATTAACTGAACAATTGAGGGTCAATGTGGAATCTGGACATAACATATCGAGTAAAGTGAATGTTTGCCACAAGCAACTTGACAATACTGCCAAGACAGTTAGGAGAAAGGCCACAAAAAGGAAGAACGAAAACAGAAAAGGTTAAGGGCAATAGGGAAACTGAACTTCCTAGCAAATTATTCTTTTACATATGCAGTGCCCGCTGTGTCATCCTTTTTCAATTGTAATACTCTTAATTATTGAGCAAATTAAAGAAATAAATTATTCAGTGATAGAAGCAAACCAGGTCAACAATATGAACCCAATTGCAATATTTCTACATAGTACACGGGTTCAAAACATTTGACATGTCATGCTGAAGTAATTTCTAATGCATTAACAATTTTCATTACAGGAAATAAGCAAGATATTCAATATTCACACAACTGTTAAATCTTTTCAGTAAAAATTAGGAAGAGCATTTTGCATTAAAACTATGCAACAAATTAGATGGTTGAGATAACAAAAACTCTAATAAAATTCCTATACGGAGGAAACCAGTTCATATTTAATCACAAAAATTTGGATTTAAAGCATTATTGTATTTATCCCAAAAACAACATTAAATGTAAAAAAAATATTAAAAAAAATCATATTATTACCTTCATCTGTATCCACAGCCCTATCTGTAGATGGCAGAAGTGTGAATGTAAGTATTTCAATTTAAAAGAAAGGGAAAAACTTGTATAAAAATTTGTACTCCATGGAGAAAACATAGTACCGGCTGGCTCAATATTACTTAAGATTCTTTGAAGATCTTCCAATTTCACTGGGCCAGCTGAAGAAGTTACATCGCTACTTACTTCCCCACCCAAGTTTGGTTCCAGCAAGATTCCAGCTCTGGACAACATAACATTAATCATAAAAGAGTAATGTACTGCAAATGAGAAGAACATCAAGCAGAAAATGGCAAGCCAGATACAACATAAAAACTCTTTAAAGGTATCCAACATCCCTAATACCCGCCCATCTTAGTTTTCTTTGGGGAGAGTCTGATTGTAAAAACATAATTTTTAAAATATTATAATGATTACTACACCAGGAGGGGAAACTTTTGCTTTCTTGCAAGTCACTAGAAGAGACGAAAACAACTTCTATAAGAATTTGGAATTTAAGAAACCATTACAACAATTAAACAAACGGACTTGGTTCTGTCTATCTTTGATGAAAAAATGCCAATAAACTTACTAGTCAAGACAACAATTGTTTTATAAACTAACTAGTTAAATTATCTTGAATTATAACAAATTTATTTGGTGGCAGCCTATTTGATCTTGTTATATTTGGGGGCTACCCAATTGAAAGCACCCCAGAACTCAACTGTAAGTTCATCACTCTTGTTTCATTACTAGTTGCGGAGTTCTGCCACTTCCCCCTTCTCCCCATCTGGCTACTAAGAGAACAAAGTAGCAAGTTTCACTGCTATGAGAACTATACCTTGATGAAATATCATCATCAACCATATCTTCAGAAACTTGTAAGGGAATAGAACCATCAGGCCCTTCTTCGTCAAGGAACTCTGCTGAAGCATCAAGATAAACACAAAATCAAACTTGAGGCAGAAATGCAATAGAATACAGACTAAGCTCCCAGTCTTTGAACTTATATTAAACAGTTTAGTTAAAGTTGAAGCCTTAAGAATTTTTGTAGTACGAGAATTGAAATCTGAAAGGTGAAATCTCTTTAGTTTTATGTCACATTTTAGGTAATGTTTTACAATGTTCTATGATTTAACAATATAATATAAATATCTACGAATTAACATAATGGCATTTAATGCCAATGACAGGCAGTATTTCTCATGTATATGGTTGAGAACTTGAGACAAAGCTTAATACATCGCAATGATGCAGTTAACACAAACTTAAAGAAGAAAAAATAGACATAGAGCAGCTAAGATTATTGGTAGCCTAAAGCAATAAAATAAATTTAATATACCTAATGGTCGATTGAGGTAGTAATTAACAGAGCTACACAACTGTGAGTCACCTTCAGCTTTAGGCTCCTGGATATCACATTAACAATGTAAGTAAGAATCTTAGAACAATTAAAAAAAGGAAAACAGATTGTCAATGAACCTCACCTGCATCCAAAAGAAAAACTTCCTGTCATCGGTGGTGAACTTCAATATGTAGACCCTTCCTGACACTTGATTAACCTGATTGAACAAAAAGTTAATATATTGAACAGTAGTTTTATGAGGGGGCAGAGATACATCATGAAAATCCAAAATCTGATTCATACCTTTTCGAAAACTGCCTCGTCAGGAAATATAATCTGATCCTGTGGTACTTTCGTTAAGGAAACTTTAAGAAAAGTTTAAACAAATATTAAGTGGGAGAGTAAACAAACAAAAAATGGAATGTGAAACTGTGAAGTGAACAAGAATTACAAAAAAATAAATATGTACAAATAGAAGTGGAAAATTAAGAAAACATGGAAGAACAAAGACTTCCAAGAAATAACAACAATGATAAAAATGGTCATAAAGAGCTTAAAAATATCACATGCTTCAGAAAATTGT